GCTCCTGCTCCTCTTAGCTCCAGGTTCCCCTTTACCCCTGCTGAGGATCACTCGCCCCCCAACCAAGTCCGCAACCACCAGGACCAAGGTGGGGGTGGGGCCCTTTCTTCCTGCTCCTTAGCCCGCCCCCACACCTCTCAAACTGAGCAGGGAACTGAGGACCAGAGACCTGGCAGTGAGGTGAGGTCGGCCCTAGGCGTCTGGGTCCTCGAGGAGAATTACAGTGTTGGTGCCAGGAAAGGCTCCAAGGTGGGGAAACTGAGGCTGAGAGAGGAGGGCGTTGACCAAGGTCATGAGGCAGGGGCAGCAGGCAGGAGCTGAGCCAGGTCTGGGGTAGTCTCCCCTGTCCTGTAACTGGGACCTCCTAGCTGACCTTGACCCCCCCAAAGTAGAGCTCCAGTCCTGGCTCCTTCCCAAGCCTCCATCTACCTTTCAGCCTGCAGAGAGGTAGCCAGGGTTTGTCTCATGGCCCAGGCAGCACTGAGGGACAGAGGTGGCTGGGTGTCTGCAGAGACTGGCGTGATGGCCTGTCTGTTCATATGGCTGAATTAGGAAGGTTAGACCTAATGTGTACACAGGGTTCACCCAGGCCGCGGAGCGTGTGTGCACGCCAGAGTGAGGGAGCAGGTGTTTGTGGGAACAGCATGTGTGCACATATATCTGTTATCCATGAGGGTGCATACAAGTGTTTGCAAGTCTACATGAAGATGGACGCGGGTCAAGAGTGTGTGGACACCTGCATGTGCCAAGGTTGTGAGCTGGCAGGGGAGAGGAGGGCCGGAGCTGGCTGGCGGAATCTTGGGCAGGTGGGGGGTAGTGTGCAGACCTTGGGCTGGAAGTGGCATGGACATGTGTGCACAGACATGCATGCATATTTATGGGGGAGGGGATGACCCTCTGGCTTTGCGTGGCCCCAGCTGTGGGCCCTGCCCCTCAAGGCCCCATCGGAACCACCTCCCTGTCCCCTTTGGTCCAATCAGTCAATGTCCCCAGCGGGAAAGCTGATTGCCACAGCTTTGCCCGTCCCTGCCCTTCCCAAGCTGATTACATTTTTCTGCTTGTTTCTGCTTTTGTTGCTGATTAATCACAGCCCTGTCTTGGGGCCTGGGGAGAGGGGGCTCAGGGAGAGATGCCAGCCCTGGCTAAGCGGGGCTGGGCCAGGTCTGGGCCCCAGCACTTCTCAGGCATGTCTCTGGAAGCATCCAAAGCCCGCAGAGGAGCCAAAAAGGACCCCAACTCTCCCCAGTCTCCCCAGTCTCTGTGGGCCAGCTGGTGCCCATTAGGACCTGGGGCTGGGGTTATGAGAGACCTCAGGGAAGTCCGAACCTGAAGCCCTCCTAATCTACCTGTCCCCTTATCTGACATTCCACCCATGGAGTTGAACGCTTTGAGCTCCCTCAGACCTCCTGGTAAAGCAGAGGAGTGGGGATGAAAACATTCAGAATTTGGAGCCAGGAACACCTGGGGCCCCTGCATCTACCACCTCCTTGTAGTGGGACCCTAATCACCTCCCTGAACCCTAAGAGGGGCCTCAGTTTCCCCACTGTGAAGTGAGAGTAGCAATACTACCTCCCAGGCAGCAGTGAGGATGAAGTGATGTGACATATGAGAGGTGCCTGACAATGCCTCCCTGTACCTCTTGGGAATTTCCTATTAGCATGAAAATCCCCCCGAGGAATATGAATTAATAATAATTAAGCTGCTGTGTATTGATTGAGAGCGTGAGCCACAGCAGCTCACTCCTGTGGTGTTTACTGAATGGCCAGGCTGCACCAGCACAGGCCAGCTGGTTCTAAATCAGGACCCCCGTGCAGAGGGAGGGTGGGCTGGAGCCTGCAGAGAGGCTGGTGGGAAACCTAGCTCTGAGGACTCCCCAAGAGGCTGCCACAGAGCATGTTGGTACTCGCCTGACAGAAGGGCAGCTCCTCCGGCATGCTCTGCGGCTCCCAGCCTTGATGCCTAGGTGGAGAATTTTCAAAGGATGGGGCAGAAACAGTCCCTGAGATAAATCAAACCAAAATCAAGTGGGTGAATCTATCTTGGATGGCCAGGCCCTGCATGTCTGACATAGGCCACCCCCAGACCTCGGCCTTTGTCTGTGGCCAAGGGGTCAGGCTGGCCACCTTGTGACCAGGCTGCTCCCTGGGGCAGAATCCACTAGGCCAAAGGGACAGGGCTCTCAGGGGATTATAGCCCCAGTGCTGTAGTGCACTTCACTGCTTGCACCATCCCTGACACCTCAGTCCCCTGGTGACTCAGGTCAGTCCCTGTCTTCTCCCCTGGTGCAAAGCCAAGGCCCACAGAGCTGGTTGTGGGGCAGGGGGCTTCCACTTGCCACCAGCTGCACCTGCTCCCCCTTCTCAGGTGGGTACACTGGCTACACTTGGGCTGTGCATGTAACCTGCTGAGTTTCCCAAATCTTTGAAGGCAGTTTGGCCTTGCCCTCATTCATGGACAAGGGCACCAAAGGGACCAGGTTGAGTAATGCAGACGTATGAGGCAGAGCTGCTCATACCTGGGCCTCGCAGAGTAAGCACCAGAGAGCTGGGCAGCATGGCTGAGGCTGCAGCTCACTGTCTGCTGAAGGGCAGTGGAGAAATGGGGAGGGCAGTTTTTACAGAGGAAGGACATGAGGCCAGGCTTGAAAAGTCTCAGACATGCAGGGGTGGAGGGGGCAGTGCCATGCACAATAAGAGTTCTGCATGGAGAACCCAGAGCTGGCCATTTGACCTTGGATGTCTAAGCTCACCTTTCTGAGCCTCAGCTCACCCGTTAAATAGAAACACATCTAGCCCCAAGAGTGAATGCTTAGATCTTGCATGTGAGTGCTCAGTGCATGGAACCTGGTGGCTCTTACTACAAGTAAAGAGAAATTTAAGAGGATGAGAAGCCAGGTGGGCAGAAGCTCAGAAGTGAGAGGACTACCCTCAGCTCTGGAGGGCAGGGTCTAGGTCTGCATTCCCGACATCCTGTACCTGGTACAGGGCTCGGTTGAGCTTGGGAAGGCGACAGGGGCTGGATGAACATCTGCTTGATGAACAAATGAGAAAATGAATGAATGAATGCACTAACAAATGAACGATGCCCACCTGCCCGCCCACCCTTCGGCATTGCAGCCCCATCCTCTGCATTTCACAGGGGAGCAGATGGCGTGATCGCAGGGTGTGAATTATGTCTGTCACTCTCCCATCTGGGGAAGGTGCTGCCACCATCACACTGCACTCCATGGGGTGTCACTGGGAGATTTGTAGGCCCCTCCAAAAAAGGGTCTCCCCAGACCTTACTCACTAGTACTTGGTTCAGGGTGCTGGAGACACCAGGGGAAGTAACCCACCTGTGACTCTGGCAGAATCCACCAAGTGTCAAGGAAGCAGGGGGAGAGAAGTAGGGACCACCCTGTCCAGGGGCTGGACCCCTGCCTCCCAGAGACTGGAGCCCTCTCCTGTCAAAACCGATATGCTCCCCACCATCCTCCTTGGCTGAGGAGACAGCTCCTCAGAGGCCAGCCTTCTCTCACGACTCATGTCAGCACCAGGGAGAGCTCCTGGCAGAACCCAGGGCCCTGCAGAGTAGGGTGAAGTTATTGAGGGACCCAGAGAGCCTGATAAGGCAATGAATGAACCCATTGTCCAGAAGAGGAAATCAAAGTGGAGGGAGAGCCAGCACCAAGCTCAAGGTCATGCCAGGACTGTTGGCCACAGCCCTGCCCAAGCTGGGGGGCTGCTGGGAAGCAGGAGGTGCATGGGATGGGAGAGATGAGTCCAGGGAGGGCAGAGGCTCTGGCCTCTACTCCTTGGCTAGGGAACGATATTGTTCCAAGAACCCACTGGGGACAGCGTCTGGAGGTGAATAAAATATTCATCGTCTGGGCAAACTCACACAGTCACTTGATGAATAATGGAATTTATAGACTTGCAGAGGCAGACCCAGCCGGGATGGGGTGTGGACCGGAACCCAGAGGCCACTGCCTGCTCTGATCACACCCTGCCCTGGGTACCCACTCTGAGCCCTCAGATACCCAGCTCCCACAGGTGACAGGGGTACACAGGGCAGAGCAGAATGACAGAGCCCATGAGAGGGAAATGGGATGAAGGGGACAGGTCCTTGGATTTGGTGCTCCTTCAGAAGCAACTTGGTGATGGAGAAAGAGTGCTGGACTTCAAGTATGTATCCCAGTATGGCTGGGATGAACCCTGACTTCTCTACCAGCTCTGTGCCCTGAGTGTGGCACTTGTCTTGCCTCAGTTTCCTCCCCTGTAAAATGGGGTTGATGGCTGTCACCACACAGCCAGGGTTGCCACAAGGATCTGATGAGGTGATGAAGGTGACAGTGCCCGGCGCCACTGTTCCTGGCTCACACAGTGCTGACACATGTTGCTGAGACTGGACCTTTAGAACCTTCGTCTTAGGCCCCCAGACTCCCCTGAGCCCAGGAGTGGTCTAGAAGGCAGAAAGAAGGAGGCATGGCCACAGGAGCAGAGAAGCTTCTAACCCTTATTTGTCAATAAGTGCAAAAACCTGGCGTAGGAGAGAGACACACACACACTCACCCGGGCCCTCCCGCCCTAGAGAGTCTGCTTCCGCTGGGCTGGGCTGGAGCCTAGGCAGGGGCTTTTTTTTTTTTTTTTTAAATCGGGGAATTGGGGAAGAGAAACAGCCAAGTTGTTGTCCTTCAGTCTTAATTGTGGAGGGCACAGCTAGCTCAGCTCCAAGTCCAGTGGCCATCCAGCCACCCGTCAGCAGCTTGCAGCCGCTCAGCTCAAGGTGCTGTGTTCAGTCTTAGTTGCAGG